CAACGCCCTACAGAAGATCAACATTTGCCTCTATACATGGGGCGCAGGATCTTCCCACCAGGTTGTTGATAAATTAAAAGAGTAAGGTCTTTTACCTGCTTTTTGTAAAGTGTCTCGAGATGACCAGAAATATTTTGCTACTTAACTCAGACGAGACTGAAGTTATTGTGCTAGGTCCTAAAAACCTCAGAGAGACTTTTTCTAGTGATTTGACTGTCCTTAATGACATCAGCCTGGCATCTAGCACCACTGTAAGGAATCTAGGAGTTCTATTTGATCAGGATATGTCCTTTAGCTCTCACATCAGGCAAATTTCAGGAACAGCCTAGTTTCACCTTTGTAATATATCCAAGATCAGGAATATCCTGTCGCAAAATGATACAGAAAAACTAGTTCATGCATTTGTCAACTCCAGATTGGATTATTGTAATTCTGTTTTGTCGGGGTGCTATGGTGGGTCTCTAAAGACTCTTCAACTGGTCCAGAACGCTGCAGCTCGTGTACTGACTAGAACTAGGAAAAGGGACCACATCACTCCTGTCTTGGCTTCTCTGCACTGGCTCCCTATACAGTCTAGAATAGAATTCAAGATTCTTCTTCTCACTTACAAAGCTTTACGTAAAGCCTTCAGTTATCAGGCTCCTCTCCTCTGGAATCGTCTTCCAGCCGGGGTCCGGGAGGCAGACACAGTCTGTATCTTTAACAATAGACTTAAAACTTTCCTTTTTGATAAATCTTAAAGTTAGGGCTGGTGCTGGTGTAGACCAGCTCCTAGTTATGCTGCTATAGGCTTAGACTACCGGGGGAACTGGCACCCTGAGCTCCTCTCTCTCTCTCTCTCTCTCGCTCTCTCTCTCTCTCTCTCTCTGTGCATATACAGTACATCATATTACTGCATGTATCTATCTGTAAATCTCAGTCACTAACCACCTACTTTCCTGGGAGCTCTTGAGCTCTCTTAGGCTCCTCCCGATCGTTGGTTGACGGCCTGCCAGAACAACCCCCCCTCCCCACCGGATTGTTGATGGATGGCTTGCCTCCCCCCACCCCCTTGCTCCCTATCCTTCTTCTTGCATCTTATCCCATCTCTCCCCCTATCCCTTTCCAAGCCCGGCGCAGTCTAGGCCTGTGAAGGCTGTTTCGTTATGAGCCGGGGGATCCAGCCGAAGATTTCTGCCTTTTAATAAGGCAGTTTTTTCTTACCAATGTAACTTTTGCTGCTTTGTTAAAGTGCTCATGATGGATAGGCCGGATCTTTGTAATATAGCAATAAGTATAGTCTTTTACCTGCTCTTTTGTAATGTTAAAAGACAAAGAGTAAGGTATTTTACCTGCTTTTTGTAAAGTGTCTCGAGATAACACTTGTTATGAGTTGATGCTATACAAATAAAAATTGATTGATTGATTGAACACTTGTTATGAGTTGACACTATACAAATAAAAATTGATTGATTGATTGATTGATATCTCAGAGAGCAGTTTGGCTTCAGCATGCTGGGGGCGTGTCCAGGGAAGAGCCTGCATCTGATTGGCTCTTTCAGGTGTTGAGTGTAGAGGAGGAGGAGCATGTTTGGAGGAACAGATGACAGGTGTGTACACTGTGACTCCTGCAGAAACGTAAAGAACTAAAAGAGATATGCTGATTATTTCAGGAGGAAAAGAAGGAGAGAGAGAGACGAGACGATGAGGGTCATCTGATCAGGCCCCCCCCCCTCAACCAACACACACACACATCCACACATACCTCCGCTATGCCTGATGAGTCAGGGTCAGAGCAGAAGGTGGACTTCCTGTGATGTCATTGTGTGTGTGTGTGTGTGTGTGTGTGTGTGTGTGTGTGTGTGTGTGTGTGTGTGTGTGTTTCTTTGAGGACCATCTGTCTCTTTAAACAGATTCTCTTTATAATAAGCAATTGTGATTAATGAATTCATCTTTATTTTCTGAACTCTGACAGAATTGTTTTGATTTGTTTTTATTTTTTAAGACACATGATGGAGACAGGTCTGAGCTACAGGTGAGTCCTACCTGCTGACTCTGATTCTGGTTATTTAGGAATCAGTTGACATGCAAAGAACAAACTGTCATGTTCAGCTGTCACTAAGGTTACAGGTGAGACTGAGCTGCAGGTAACTCTGAGCTGCAGGTGAATGTAACCTACAGGTGAGTCTGAGCTGCACGTGAGTGTGAGCTACAGTTGAACCTGAGCTACAGGTGAGTGTGACCTACAATTCTACAATTCACTTAGCAGACGCTTTTATCCAAAGCGACGTACATCAGAGAGTAAGTACAACACAAGAAAGGATCTAGAAAAAAGGGAACAATGTCAGTAAGTGAGTCTGATTGGACACACAGGTGCTGACAGGAAGTGACCAGAGGCAAAGCACAACATTGACGGCAGTTCTTGAGACAGCTCTAATCAGTATAGAAACCATCTTATAAGTCGTCATTATCAAACAAAAACCATCGTCATTACCATCATCATCAACAATAATATCGAGACCATCATCATTAAGTTAGTGGGTATTCATGAAAGAGCTGGGTCTTTAGCTTTTTTCTTAAAGATGCAGAGGGACTCTGCAGATCGAATGGAGTTTGGAAGTTCATTCCACCACCGGGTGGCGACAGAGGAGAAGAGTCTAGTCAGAGTCTAGTTAGAGCCATTTTTGTCACTGTTTTGTAAGCGAGCAGCAGAGTTTTAAATTTGATGCGAGCAGTAACTGGGAGCCAGTGTAAGGAGATGAACAGCGGAGTGACATGTGCTCTTTTAGGAAGGTTGAAGACCAGTTGTGCTGCTGCATTTTGTATCATTTGCAGAGGTTTGATAGTGCATGTAGGAAGACCTGCCAGTAGAGAGTTGCAATAGTCAATGTGTGATATCACAAGAACCTGTACCAGGAGCTGTGTAGCATGTTCTGACAGGTAAGGTCTGATCTTCCTGATGTTGTACAGGGCAAATCGACATGACCAGGCAATCGAGGCTACTTGAACCTTAAAAATTAGCTGGTCATCAATCATGACACCCAGGTTCCGGGCAGACTTTGTTTGCATGAGTTTGGTTGTTCCAAGCTGGATATTGATCTGTGGTTGCATAGAGGGACTGGCTGGGATGACAAGGAGCTCAGTCTTTGAAAGATTGAGTTGAAGGTGGCATTCATTCATCCATTTGGAGATATCAGCAAGGCATGACAAGATTCTTGCAGAGACTGTAACATCGTCTGGCGGGAATGACAGGAAGAGCTGGGTATCGTCAGCATAGCAGTGGTATGAGAAGCCATGAGAGCGGATTATTAAACCAAGTGAGCTTGTGTATATGGAGAAGAGAAGGGGACCAAGTACTGACCCTTGATGTACCCCTGTGGATAAGCTGTGCGCTTTGGACACTTCTCCCTTCCACGACACTCCAAAGGATCTCCCAGAGAGGTCGGACACGAACCAGCAGAGGGCAGATCCTGATATGCCAAGTTCAGAGAGTGTGGAAAGGAGGATTTGATGGTTGACTGTGTCAAAGGCAGCAGACAGGTCTAGCAGTGATAGAACTGAGGACTGACCCGCAGCTCTGGCAGCTCGTAGCGATTCTGTTACTGACAGTAGTGCAGTTTCAGTAGAGTGGCCCTGCTTAAAGCCTGACTGATTTGGGTCAAACAGATTGTTTCTGGACAGGAACTCAGAGACTTGCTTAAAGACTGTGCGCTCAAGTACTTTTGACAGAAAGGGCAGAAGAGAAACCGGTCTGTAGTTTTCAACCTGGGCTGGGTATAGTGTGGGCTTTTTGAGCAGAGGGAGCTTGCTGGAATGCGGTGAGGAACACACCCGTTGACAGAGAGGAGTTGATGATATGCTTAAGTGCAGCATTAAGTCACATACAGGTGCGTCTGAGCTGCAGGTGAGTGTGAGCTACAGGTATGTGTGAGCTACAGGTGAGTGTGAGCTACAGATGAGTGTGAGCTGCAGGTGAGTGTCAGTTGCAGTTGAGTGTGAGCTACAAGTGAGTGTGAGCTGCTCTCTCTCCCTCTCTCTCTCACACCCTCTCTCTCCCTCTCCCTCTCTTTTCTCTCTCTCTGTTTTTATGAAGATAATTGAGATTAATCTGTGTGTTCAGCTGATTTATCTGACAGATCATTTCAATCTTAGAATCAGTTTTTTATACTGCGGGTGTGTGTGTGTGTGTGTGTGTGTGTGTGTAGGTGTGAGTGCGTGTGTGTGTGTGTGCGTGTGTGTGTGTGTGTGCGTGTGTGTGTAGGTGTGAGTGCGTGTGTGTGTGAGTGTGTGTGTGTGTGTGTGCGTGTGTGTGTGTGTGTGTGTGTGTAGGTGTGAGTGCGTGTGTGTGTGTGTGTGTGTGTGTGTGTGTGTGCGTGTGTGTGTGTGTGTGTCATCATCATCTACAGGAAACGGAGATTTCTGGGTAATACAACAAACACCGAGCTCGTTGTCGCCCTCTGTTGGACAACAAAGAATCACAAGTAGAAAACAAACAGAGCTTAAGTGACGCAGATTTCTATCATCATAAATAATATGAAAATAATATGATAGTATAAATATAAAGAAGGTTGAAGTCAATATGAGGACACGGTGTGATCTAAAGAGTGTTTAGAGACTCAGTCTGTCACCTCTGACATATAAATATACAAATATAATATGTCATATAATAAGTGTTTAAAGATCAACATGATGACTTATGACTCGCTCTCCCTCGGTCTGTTTGTAGGTCAAAGGTTAATGTTTATGTGAGGCTATTTATACATTATATTTATTTCATTTGACAGAATATTCAAATAAAGCGCAAGCCCGGCCCCCTCTCTGTCTGTCTCTGCTCCTATTGGTCAGTTTGTTGTTTCTTAGTTTATTATTGTTTATTGATTATTTTATAGTATATTCAAATCAAATAAAAACACTCAGTTTTTAAGGGACATGCCCCGCCCCCTCCATGTCTGTCTCTGCTCTTATTGGTCAGTTTGCATAAAGAAGGACGGGGCGCTCTTGCCAGTCCGCACATGCGCACTTAGTGGGAAACACGATAGAAAACGGGCAGCTATGCCGCGCGCTGCAGAACTCGAGCTGGATGTGACTAACGGCCGGAGTATCGGAGGACCGACACGCGGACCGGGAGGCTGCTGAGAGCCGTTAACGGACACTTTCTTCCCGGGGATCGACTCCTCCTTAGGCCGACGAGCCGCTCCTCCTACTCCTCTTCCTCCTCCTCAGAGAGACTCCTCACAGTGCCATGGACACCGTGTAGGATCTGTCCGGTGTCCGTTAGTCGGTGGAGACTGAATCAGTGAGCGGGGGCCGCGGAGGGGGGGGTCAGGATGGTGGTGTTGTGGCCCCGTAGAGGAGGCTCGGCCCCGGACAGCTGTTTGCTTCGGACCGCCTGTCTGCAGCTGCTCCTCTGGATCTTATGTTCCGTTAACGGAGAGGAGCAACCGTTCAGTGTGGAGGTAAGAACCGGAGCACGACGACGGTCTGCACCGGAGGAGACCGAGCGGAGTCTGCTCACAGCGGCTTTATAATGATCTGTTGTGGGTTGTTACCGTGTTTAACCAGGGTTTAACCCGGGTTTAACCTGGGTCAGACTGTGTTCATAACAACAGAGTCTTTGTGAGCGCAGCTGCAGCTCCATCCTCCTCCTCCTCCTCCTCAGTGTTTAAAGAAACACGGTCATCTTGTGGTTTAGTTGGAACATTTAATGTGATTTCTGGAGTTAAGTTTGGAGCTGTGGGCTCAGAATGAGAAACAAAAGACTCTGAATGTTGATAAAGAGAAAAATTAAACTGTGTGTATGTTTGTAAACTCTGACGCTTTAGTTCGAGGCTCGTCGGGATCCTAGAAGGATTATGGTTTTATTCAGTCTGTAAAAAAGGGGTCGGTTATATTCACATTTATTAAAGGGGACATATTCTGAAAAGTCCTTTTTTTCAGTGTTTTTGAATATATATTTAGGTAACCTGAGTGTCCCACAAAATGTGAAATCAACTCATCCAGTCCTTTGTTTGTGGTCTGCATAAGTCTTACAACAGAGAGACAAATGCTCTGTTTCAAATGTGCTCTCCTTGTGATGTCACGGTGGGATTCTGGTAAAAAAAAAAATCACCTCCCCTGGTATCTCCACCCATGGACTCCACCCAAGCGTATAACAAAACCTGTGCACGTGTCCACCATTTTTATTCTCCCTACAGAGGAGTGATGTCTACGGGGAAAACTCAGGGGGGGCTCATTACATTTAAAGAGACACACACACCAAAACGGAGTGTTCTGAGAGAGCTGGTTTATACAGGGTCACAAACCTCCTTTGGTGCTAGATTCATGTTATATTTTGACCAAAGCACAGCACAGATGTTTCATTTAGACCACAGGGGACTGTTTGAAAAGGTGGAAAAGGAGGATGATATGTCCTCTTTAGTGTGTGTTCTTAGGAGTTAATGATTCACCATGATTAGGTTCCTGAATGATCTGGATTTGTTTGGACCAGAGAAGGTAGGCGGTTTTAAGGCACACCCCCACACGGCCATTTTGGACGCCCCTCGGTTTGTCAGATATGAGAGCAGTTATCAGGTCAAACCAACAGGTCCTCAGCAATGGAAGCGGTCAAGAGAAGTGGTTCAGATAGAAGTGATTGTACCCGACCTAAAAAGCCTTTGCATGTTTCTAATAAGCTCCACAAGCAGAAACGTGCTCAAACTAGGATCAATATTGGAGATGCTTTTGAGAAATGGAGAGGTTAGAACACAGAAAGGTTTACAGACCCATGCAGAGCTGGATAAACACTGAGTCCACCACTTGGCAACCTTTTGTGAGCATCGACTCTAGAGAGGTGGGGGGGGGGACAGCAGGTCTAGCAGGTCATCTTTGAGCAGCACTATCTACAATTCTACAATTCACTTAGCAGACGCTTTTATCCAAAGTGACGTACATCAGAGAGTAAGTACAACACAAGCAAGGATCTAGAAAAAAGGGAACAATGTCAGTAAGAGCAAACGATCAGCTTTGAGTCTGATTGGACACGCAGGTGCTGACAGGAAGTGACCAGAGGCAAAGCACAACATTGACAGCAGTTCTTGAGACAGCTCTCTACAATGTTTTAAATTTGGACTGCAGTACCCATTTTAAACACTAGGGGTCAGAGTTACATATTGCTCCTTTAAAATCAACAACTGTGAATACATAGAATACTTTGTGGTCCCAGAGAACAACAACAAACAACACAACTACAATCACAACAGCAACAAACAACAACAAACAACATGACAACAAAAACGACAACACAACAACAAACACGACAACAGCAACAAACACAACAACAACACAACTACAAACACAACAACAACCATGACAACAAACACGACAACAGCAACAAACACAACAACAACACAACTACAAACACAACAACAACCATGACAACAAACACGACAACATCAACAAACACAACAACAACAACAACAAACAACACAGCAACAAACACGACAACAAAAACAAACAACACAAAAACAACAACAAACACAACAACAACAAACACAACAGCAACAACAACCACAGCATCACAGGGTGATGAGCGTCGCCATAGTTACACTCATTGATCAGTCATCATGTCCTGTCTCATCAGCCAATCAGATGATGGAAGCTGTGTCAGCTGGTGTACAGACGTACCTGTGTCAGCAGGTGATGTCAGAGTGTGTCTCACATTATTGGACAGATTGTGACCTCAGGTCATCTTCCTATTAAAGGTCAGCTCTACCTGGACAGGTAATCTGATAACAAACACTCTGATCTCACCTGTGTGAGAACCCCTCTGATCATAATGAGTCCTTGTTCCCAGAGACCAGAGCAGTGTGTGTCTGTGTGTGTGTCCACTCGTTTTCATGTCGTTTTTCTCTCCATTTACACTAAGTAATCATATGGAATACACACACACACACAGTGGTCCTGACGTCAGTTGGCGGTGTGTTCAGAGAGCAGATTTCTGAGGCAGCAGGGTTTCTGTGTCAGTGTCATCCGATCCTACACAAACAAACAACAACACTTCAACTACATGACACACACACACACACACACACACACACACACACACACACACACACACACACACACACACACACACACACACACACACACACACACACACACTGACATCAAGCTGTGACACTCAGAGACGTGTGTGTGTGTGTTAGGGCTCTCACTTTATTCGAGGTTCAAACTTTCATTCAAATCAGGTCAATTTGAAAATGTACAAAGTTTCCAGTTTGATCCAGCAGAGACAAGAGAGACTTGTCTCTCTGCATGCAGCAGCGCACTGATTGGTGGGGGGACTCAGGGTCACTACACACCTGCAACTCTCCAAAGGTCAGGGACACACACACACATACACACACAAACGATGTTGGCTGCTGTGTGTGTGTCTGAGCCAGGATGGCCTTGGTTGCTGTGGTGACTCTGCAGACTCACCTGTGGTGACCCTGCAGACTCACCTGTGGTTCAGTGTTTATGATGAATAATGGAGGTGGGTCAGAGGCAGCCGTTCATCCAGGTGAAGCGATCATGTTCCCATGATGCACCTGATATAAATTTAAAGAGACAGTACAAGTGTTTTGTGCTCTTCATGACAGGGTTTTGTAGCCTCAGTAACCCCTGAGTAATGCACAGTTTTCCTTCATTGAAATGTTTAGTCAGAACAAGTCGGTCTGATTGTGAAACTTAAAAGGGGGGGGGGGGGTAGACTATCCCTGTCGGGGGGGACGGACGATGTAATTCTCAGACTGTTTTTGATGAAGCATGGCTAGCGTCCTTTCAGTCTCTCACCTCTCAGAAGGTTTGTTACATACAGCTGCTTGCAGCCATTAAGGACTCTAGTGGTGTCAGCTCTTTGATTGTAGAAGGAGAATGCATCATTAGGGCTCTGCCCCTGTTCTGGGGACTTTTTGAAGAGGAACTATCCACTAGGGACGACTCAACATGGGGGCTTTTTTATGTCAGACAGAACAGACAGAAACCTGGATCAGAACCAGAATCATGTTGAACAGACAGAAACCTGGAGCAGAACCAGACTCATGATGAACAGACAGAAACCTGGAGCAGAACCAGAATCATGTTGAACAGACAGAAACCTGGATCAGAACCAGACTCATGTTGAACAGACAGAAACCTGGAACAGAACCAGACTCATGATGAACAGACAGAAACCTGGAGCAGAACCAGACTCATGTTGAACAGACAGAAACCTGGAACAGAACCAGACTCATGTTGAACAGACAAAAACCTGGAGCAGAACCAGACTCATGATGAACAGACAGAAACCTGGAGCAGAACCAGACTCATGTTGAACAGACAGAAACCTGGTACAGAACCAGACTCATGATGAACAGACAGAAACCTGGATCAGAACCATACTCATGTTGAACAGACAGAAACCTGGAGCAGAACCAGAATCATGTTGAACAGACAGAAACCTGGATCAGAACCAGACTCATGTTGAACAGACAGAAACCTGGAACAGAACCAGACTCATGATGAACAGACAGAAACCTGGAGCAGAACCAGACTCATGTTGAACAGACAGAAACCTGGAACAGAACCAGAGTCATGTTGAACAGACAGAAACCTGGAGCAGAACCAGAATCATGATGAACAGACAGAAACCTGGAGCAGAACCAGACTCATGTTGAACAGACAGAAACCTGGAGCTTGTGTGTTTTATTAGCAGTAATAAGAAAATATGATACAAAATTAATCATTCTAATAAACATTAATACATTTTAGACTTTATGGTAATTATAGCAGTTAAAGTGTATCGTCTCTTTTGACTTAAGCTCTCATGTACAGTGATGCTCATGTAACCTGAGGTGACCCCATCAGCTGTTCAGCCTCAAAAAGTAACATCAGCATGTCATGTAAGCGTTGCCATGGCAACAGCCTCTTCTCATCAATAATAGTGAGTGATTCACCGTCCTACAGGCTGGCCTTTTGAAGGAGGCTGCAACCAATTAAACCACCGTCTGCTTCTCAGGAAGCACCTGAGAGGGTTGTGGAAAGGTAGTTCTGCAGGTAGATGGCTGAGAGGTGTTCTAAGGACATGGAGAGGTGGTCCTAGCTCACACAGTGGTGGTGGTCTGAGGACATGGAGAGGTGGTCTGAGGAAACAGAGGGGTGGTCTGAGGACATGGAGAGGTGGTCTGAGGACATGAAGAGGTGGTCTGAGGACATATCTTTTAGAAAGAACCTTTGCGGTCACCATCGGTAACTACTCCTCCTCTACCTCTAACATTACCTGTGGTGTACCGCAAGGTTTAGTTTTAGGTCCCATTTTATTCTCCATTTATATGCTGCCTTTTGGCCAAATAATTGAACGCCACAAAGTCTCCTTTCACTGCTATGCAGATGACACACAGATATACCTTCCTCCGCCAGAAATCTAGGAATAACATTTGATTGCAATCTCACCTTTGAA